CATGGCGGACAGCGCGAGCGAGAGCGACTCGTCCTCCGTGACCGATGGCCCCATTATGCAGCCTCCCTCCATGCCTCCTTCGCCCATCACTCGGGAGCAGTGGCAGAAGAGGATCGAGTGCCTGCAACAGCAAAACCGGGTGCTGAGGGCGGAGCTGGAGACGTATAAACTGAGGGTAAAGAGCCTCCACGAAGAGAACAGGGCGTTGCGTCAAGCTTCTGTCAATATTGTGAGTTTTGTTTTTTTCGTTTTTTTTTAGCGGATTTATGTGTCGGTTTTAGGTTCCTGATTTGGGGGACTTATAGTTATTATGTATTTCTCTCTGTTCATCACGAGTGGTGGCGCAACGAACCGAATTTAGAAAGTTACAGTAGAAAAAAGAGACTCGAACCTCAGAAGTTCCGTCTCCCGAAAGACCATAAATTTCATTAAAAAATTTCATTAAAAATTAATTAAACTTCGGATCATATCATCATCAGATAAACACGATTCGAGGGAATTTCTCATCGTATGTTTAATGCATTTTGTGGCCCAATTCCTTACGAATTTGTAGTGAATAGACAAAGAAATTTTCATCAGGAGTATAAGAACCATAATACTTTCCATTGGCAGTTCTTTCAGTTCTTATTTTATTTGTCCTTATTTATAGTCCTTATTTGTCATTATCTAACTGGATTTTTAATAACAGTGTGAGCTATGCTGATATGAATGGTATTGATAAAATAAGATAAAAAGTTTATAACCTGTGCTATCTCCCTGTAGTGATGTCCATATGAGATGAAAATTTAGGCCTATATTTGTGAAGAAGAGCTGGAATTATACTCAGGAATTATAAGGCTTAAAAAATAAAACCATAATAAATATAAAAAAAAAGAATTATAAAACCTCATAACCTTATAACCTTAAAAAACCTCATAATCCAGTAGTTCAAGCTCATGGTATCGGACATCACGGTGTTGCTTTTATAGTAAACGTGTGCCTTCGAGACGATGTTATTAGGGCATTTGGGTTCTCATCCTTGGCTCCCTGATTTTGTAACCTAGTGTCTTGCCTCCCTATTCGTTTTACTCTGAAATAAATTGAAAATAGTGTAGTTACTGTGAACAAAACTCAAGGAACCTCCTAAGATAGAGCTTGGATGGTTAGTTGTACTACAGTGAAATGACAGTGAGATTTACAAGCTGTCTAGTAGAGTCTGGTTGGCCCTAACTAGAATAATAACTTTATCAGCAGGAGTTCAATGGCCAGCCTGTAATGTTTATCCATTGCTAGGTGAATAGGCTCTTGTACCTTCAAGCTACAGCTGCTATTACCAATGTAAATGATATTGTATATGATACCTTGAGAAATCTACAGTGTATATACAAGTTTTGGTATCTATCATAGAAATATCTGTCATGGACAACTAAGTTCTATTAGATTCTATATTTATGTTGTTTGGTATTACTTTTAGAGCATTTGCCAAAGCCTGTACTGAAAGTCCATGCCGTAAAGGCTAAAACAGGAAACTACTGAGGATGTCATATATGTGCCAAGATAACCCAACACAGGATGTAGTAGATATGGTACATTTAGAGAGTCCCATAATTCTTTTTCCACCACAGGTCTTTTTTTAACAATAGTTGGCCTTATTGAGTCCATAGTACTCCCATTGATTCTTTACTGCAGCATGTTTGTTTTTCAAGATTATTCATATATTTTGATTATTCGTTATTTTTTCTTTATACCTTTCCAGTCTGACTTCACTGAATATATTGTACCCAAGTTGTATGTTTGTCGGTGGGATACAAACAGGACATCGGATATGGCAGTTCCTTCTCCTGTTACTCTTTGCACTGTACTCCTGCAATGCTTTTCTTGTTGTTTTTGCCTTAGAGTTTCACTGGTATTTTCCATTCCCGCCCTTGCTATGGGAACAAAGATGATAAAACTAGTGTGGTGGGTTCTAGAGACCATTAGCAGTCCATCAATACCAATATCATTAGCATAGAGTGAGGAAGCATATAAAGATTTCTCTACATGGAATTGCCATGCAAAGTTTGTCAACATTGTTGTTGTTGTTGTTGTTGTTTTTTGAGGCCATGATTTGTATTTCGTTGTAAAGAGATGCATAGCTACTTCAAGTTTGTCCTAAATTATAAATGTGATTATTGGGATTTACCTATTTACTTTCAGCAGCACAAATACAGCCTCTGTATGCCAAGGTTTATTACTCATTTTTCTCAGTATTATACATTGACTCTTCAGCTGCATAATCCTAGCCAGTAAGGTTGGGTTGTATCCTTTCCGTTGTTATTATTTAGTTAAATTTCACTCTTTGTATCTAGAGCTAGAAAGTGCTAGCTCAAACATTTGTGTTACCCTGTCCCATGTTTCCTGTTGCATGCCAAAAACAGCACAAGTGGACTCAAATATTAAGAGCTATTCATTTTTTTCATGGCGCTCATGTTCTTGAGTTGGTTTCTGTTGTTACTGTAATGCAAGGGTATTATTTGCTTGGAGCGGTTGTCAGGATTGAAAACAGGGGTTGCTTATTAGGAAGTAGATATATAAGTCTAGTGAATTAGACTTGCCTTCAAGTCAGGAACACAGAAAAAGAATGCTTCACATTGATGATGTTTTACAAATTGGATACATTATATTACAAACTCTTAATAGCAAGTTCATCCTCTCAAATTGCCATGTTACGAATATGGATTAACGTTTTATTCATTTCACACCCTCACTAATTCCTCTCACAAGGCTATCACACAAGTTCAGCCAGGAATGTGCCGTCTCATGTGAGCGAATAGGCAATGACATGAATGAGCTGATCGGAGATACATTAGACCTGCTAGAAAGGGCATGCTACTAGCACCACTACAGGGATCAGTTGTTGTGACAGACTGCTGACTCACAGTGAAGGCACTTCTTTAAACCCATTACTAAGCAACCACACCTTGGCTCATCTAAGGGGAAAGGTTCATCTCAATTACTTCTGTCGTGGCCTACCCTGCGTAATGCATTGGGCAAGAGTTGGTTATCTATGCACTGAGATGGAGGGTTATGAATGCATATTGGGGTATGTTGATTATAGGAATTGAGATAATGTAATGCACAGCTTTCATTTTGTTTCATGTGATATATTGATCTACTGAGTCAGGCTCTGTTAAGACTTCTGTTGACTCTTATCATTGCCACAAACTGAGAGGAAGTTCTGTTTGTGAACAGAAAAGGTCATTGGTCAAAAACCAATAATGACAGGAAGAAATATCTATCTATGTATCTATCTATGTATCTACCTATATATGTGTATATATATGTGTATATATATGTGTATATATATGTGTATATATATGTATATATATATGTATATATATATGTATATATATATGTATATATATATGTATATATATATGTATATATATATGTATATATATATGTATATATATATGTATATATATATGTATATATATATGTATATATATATGTATATATATATGTATATATATATGTATATATATATGTATATATATATGTATATATATGTATATATATGTATATATATGTATATATATGTAAGTAGAGAGGTGTATATGATGCGATATGAGGGAGATAGATGGTAGAGAAGAGAGAGATAATAGATATAGATCGAAGAGAGATTAGAGAGGTAGGAGAGATATATATTGTAGAGAGAAGAGGGAGAGAGAGAGAGGTATAGAGAGAGAGGGAGAGAGAGACAGATAGAGAAAGATAGATATAGAGAAGGAGAGTAGAGATAGAGATAGACGATGGAGAGAGAGAGGGAGAGAGAGAGGGGAGAGAGAGTATGGAGAGAGAGATGGAGAGAGAGATGGAGAGTAGAGAGAGAGAGAGAGATAGGGAGAGAGAGAGGGAAGAGGATAGAGAGAGAGAGTATAGAGAGAGAGAGACAGAGGAGAGAGAGAGGGAGGAGATGTAGAGAGAGGGAGTAGAGAGAGGGAGAGAGGGCGGGAGGAGATAGATGTCGAGATAGAGGGAGAGAGAGAGTGGAGAGAGAGAGCGAGAGATAGAGAGAGGGAGAGAGAGAGTGGAGGAGAGCAGAGGGGGGGGGGGGAGAGAGAGAGAGAGAGAGAGAGAGAAGAGAGAGAGAGAGATAGAAGGAAAGAGAGAGAGAGAGAGAAGAAGGGAGAGAGAAGAAACAAAGAGAGACAGAAGAGAGACAGAAGAGAGAGTAGATAGAGAGAGAGGAGAGAAGAGAGAGAGAGAGAGAGAGAGAGAGAGGGAGACGAGAGAGAGGGGGGGAAAAGAGGGAGAGAGAGGAGGGAGAGACAAGACAAGAGAGAGAGAGGGGGAGAGGAGAAGAAGAGAGGATAGAGGGAGAGAGAATAGAATGGGGAATATGGAGAGAGAAGAGAGCGGGTGAGAGAGAGAGATATTAGAGAGAATATAAGATAGAGAGAGAGAGAGAGAGAGAGTAGACAGATGACGAGGAGGGGGGGGGCGAGAGGGAGGAGAGAAAGAGAGAGAGTAGCGACGAGAGAAAGAGAAGCAGAGAGAGCGCAGAGATGAGAGAGAGAAGAGAAGAGAGGAGAGAGAGTAGAGAGAGAGAGGAGAGAGAGAGAGAGAGAAGAGAGAGAAGGAGAGAGAGAGAGATGAGAGAGAGAGAGAGGAGAAAGAGAGATAGGATGAGAGAGAGAGAGGGAAGGAGAGAGAGGTAGAGAGAGAGAGAGAGAAGAGGAGAGAGAGAGAGGAGGAGAGATGAGGGAAGAGAGAGGAGAGAGAGAGGAGAGAGAGATTAGGGAAGAGAGAGTAGAGAGATAGACTGAGAGAGAGGAGAGAGAGAGAGGATAGAGAGAGAGAGAGGAAGAGAGAGAGGAGGAGAGAGAGAGAGAGGAGACGAGAGAGATGAGAGAGATGAGAGAGGAGAGAGAGAGAAGAGAGAAAAAGAGCTAGAGGAGAGAGAGAGAGAGAGAGAAGAGAGAGGACCAACGAGAGAGAGAGAGAGGAGAGAGAAAGAGAGAGAAAAATAAGGGGGGGGAAAGAAAGAGAGAGAGAGAGGCGAGATAGGGAGATAAGAGAGGGCATCGAGGGAGAGAGAAGGAGAGAGAGAGAGAGGTAGAGAGAGAGCGGATAGAGAGATGGAGGAGAGAGAGAGATATAGAGAGAGAGAGAGAGAGAGAGGGATAGAGAGATGGGGGATAAGAGATAAAGAGAGAGAGAGAGAGAATAGAGAGTAGAAGAGAGGTAGGAGAGAAGAAACAGTACGAG